TAATGGCTGATGAGATGGAATGAAGGAGACAGATATGAAAAACACTACAGCTTAGCTGAGGTGTTGGCAACTTTTTCTGTAAAAGGACAAATAGTAAATTTTTTAGGCTCTATGGTCTCTGTTACAATTGCTCAATTCTGCCACTGTAGCTGAAAGCAACTATATAAATGAATAAACGAAGTTTTATTTTAATGAAACTTTATGTATGGACACTGAAATTAGAATTTCATATAATTTTCATACCCATGAAGTATTGTCATTCTTTGATGTATTTCAACCGGTAAAACAAAACAAAACAACAACTTAAAAACCATTCATAACTTGTGGGCCGTACAAACACAGGTAGTAGACCAGAAGGCCTTAGTTTGGCAAACCTTGGCCTAGCTGGATACTATACTCAGACCTACTAATCACATCAGCATTTTGAACCTTTAAGCATCCTGTCGTGGGATAATCTCAGAATCATTAAATCACCTGATTTTATTCTCGGCTAGAACTACAAGTACCTTGAGTAATGGAATCCCATTCATAATTGTTTTTATTCCTCACAAAAGACAATACCGAGCACATTCAAATCAGTCTGCTTACTTCTGCTTAATTGGTTTAATAATGGGTTCAAGGTAAAATTACAGAGAAAAAGTATTTATGCTGTTAACCAACTTCAAAAATATGTCATTCTGACATGCTTTACTTCTCTCAGACATCATCTTCGTAAATTGTCACAGTGCCTCACGCTTCAGGAGAACACAGGTTGGCTCAGGCATACATGCTGAGCAACTGGCTGAGCAGTAGAGAGACAGGTGATTCAAAGGAAACACACTATGCAGGTGAAATATTTTCAAAGACTTCTCGCTATGTCTATGTATAGAAATTCCATCTCAATTGCCTACAGAGCAAAAGATATTCTTTCCATAAATGTCACCATAAAACTGAAGTTAATTATTATTATTATTATTTTTTATATTTAGCATCCTTTTGGCAAGGCAAGGCTGGAGAGAGTTGGTGGGTAGGGGGATAGGGGACTGGTGCAAATACACAGCATTGCATTTCCTGAGGTTACTTCTACCGTATTTCCAGGACCTCTAGATAGTCTCAGTAAATGCAGCACTAGACAATCTTGCTGCTGCCTCCTACTCCTGCCCCTCATCAAACCACTTACTTTCACATACCTTCCCTACCCCCCACCATAACTGAGACTTGTCCCATCTTCCAAACTAATGTTCCTGGGATGTTGCTGCCTCCCTTCCTCCGGTGTCTGAAAAGTAGTATCTAATACTCTAGTATAACGACTCATGAACAGGCGAGGAAAATGATAGGATAAAGACCAGTCTAAAAATAAAAACTTCGTTTTCTGCTTCTAAGAACTGAGTAAGAAGTGTGATCAATGATAGAATGTTGAAGTAACGTAAAATAAGGGATACAGAGCCAGAGTTGTTGCGATCAAAAGCTGCCCCTAAATATTGGGTATTCAAATGCCACCCTTCACCAGTCAGATGTTTTCCCTAGTCCAAATCCTCATTGCATGGCTTTGAACAACTCTTAATCTAACTCTAAAGGAATCTAATTCTATAAAAGATAGGCTGGCATATTTGAGGATGGGAAAAAAAGGTTAATCATGTTTCAGATAAATTAAAAAAGGAACAGTTCTTAGGGGAAAAGAAATCCAGAGTTCAGTTCCTTAGAGTCAAAAAAGCTCAATTTTAGAAGTCCGAACATGACTGTATGTAAAAGTACCTTGTGTTCCACCACCTATTACTTTCCCTAAAGCTTTACAGTAACTTTTCCATTTGCGCTCTAAGAGCAACTCTTTACCAGGAGCAAATGCTATCACTTCCTGCTGCTTTCCAGGCACCGTAACCCTGGTCATTCTCCAACTTTACCTCTACCAGCAGCCCCTACTGATCCCTTGTTACACGGGTAGCAAACCATGCATGTAGACCCCTATTCATAGGGAAGAGATCTACATGGGTCAAGAGATGAATGCTTGCCCGGGGCATGTTGCTTGTTCCAGCCTGTGCGGCATCACTGATGAGCCCAACACCCACTCATGACACCTCCTTCTTAACTTTGGTTACTTATTTCCCCCCAGATAATAGCTTTTGTCCACACAAACTATTGCCACCAAATCCCAGAAGTTTGAGTTTTAGAAACCTGAACGTTAGTCCAGGCTCTGCTACTTACTGATGGTGTGATGTTGATCAATTAATTCAAACTTTCTGGACCTCAGGTTCCTTATCCATAAAGACAGGGATAACTGCGGTTCTCCCTAATAAGGGAGACTAAATGAGATTATGGTGAAAAAAAACCCAAACAAAACACTCTGCCGAAGAGTGAGAGGTAGTCTGGGTTGAATGGAGCAGACTAATGAAAACTCGCCCAGACCTCTGGCCACTGAAATTGATCCTACCCTGCTGAGGTATATGTGGAAGTAAAAGCTGGGAATAAAGTAAAATGAGGAGGGGGATACAGAGAAAAAACTAAATTAGGTAGTGGAAGGAGAAATACAACCAAATGTTGTAGGTGCTGGGGGTGTGGAGAGTTGATGGTAAGACACAGCTCTAGAAGTATACCAAATATTAAGCAGTATTCTACAATCCAAATGCTTTAATCAAGTGGCTAAGGTTTCCTCTATGTTTTATAAAGTTTTTTTTTTTTCAGTATTTGTGGCCAAATTTCCGTGTAAGAGTTTTATTATTAAGTAATACTTTTGGTCTTATTTCTCCGTGTAAACATTCTCTCACACCAGATTTCATTCCAAGGATGTTCAAGAGACCTGTTGGTTCAAATATTTGTGTCCTCTGTTCTCTGAGCACCGGACGCACAAAACTGAATGCACAGCTGAATTTAGATGTATCGGTCATTATTTAAAATGAAATATGCCACTTAATCTCAACCAACTGTAGAAGGCAAAAGAGGAAGAGAGACTGGCAGATCTGCCCAAACCCTGGGCAGACTAATAGTTACCTCCGAGTGACATAATAAAGGAGGACATTTTCTGCCACATTATACTCCGTATAATGGTCATTCTGTACAATGATCAGATTTTCTACAATGATCCTTTGGGTGTGGCTTAAAGAGGGGCACAAAAGAACAAATACTACCCTTTGTAGATGGGAACGTTTATTTGCTGACAGATTGGCCCAGAATTTACTGCTATGAGATTTTTGCTTATGTACTTGTCGTGGAGAATGTCTAATCATCTTTATTTTAAAACAGACTTTTAACATAAGCATGGCCCCTCCGAAATAATCTGCTGCAACCTCCGCTTTTTTAAAGGTGCAAAAATTAAGCCAGAGGGTTGAAATGATTTGTTTAAGATTACACAAATAACAACAGCTTCCACACTAAAACCTGGGGATCCTGACTTCCAACTCAGAGCTCCCTCTGCTATACCATTCGCTTGAATTACATTTCTCTAAAGTCCACCACCGTGGGGATTAAGGAGTGCACTTGTGGTGAGCACAGGGTGATGCATGGAAGTGTTGAATCACTACCTCGTACCCCTGAAACAAATATAACACTGCGTGTTAACTAACTAGAATTTAAAAAAAAAACAAAAACAAAACAACAACAACAAAAACTTATAATAAAAGAAAGCCCACCACCATATGAGGGGCATCTATGGTGGATGAGGAAAAAAAAAGATGGATAAAGCCAGGGGCCAGGGGAGCCTCAGGGGAGAGAGTTTTAAACCAAAGTACATGCTGACATGTGTTCTGCTTTCATTACAGAAAACTGTAGTACCTCCTGGTGAAAGATGCCATTCGATTTCCCCCCATCCAGAGGCTGCATTTGGTCAGTTCACGTTCTGGTTACCACTCACAAGCTGTAAAGCCTCCGTCATTTGGAAGGGAGGTGGTAGGGGAAGAGGAGTATAATAAGTTAGCAAACAACTAATTATCCTTTAACTTTCCTTTTTCAAAGTAACTGTGAACTGTACTTCCATGATGCATTTCTCTTGTCCTTCTCTACTCATACAAACCTCATCCCTTTGAATGGAGGAGAAATAGACTTACTTTTTTTTTTTTTTTTTAAATTTTTAGTGATTCTAAGAACCTGTGATTTAGCTCGATTTGAGAGCTATGTGAAACCACTGCAGTTATTCGCCTCCTTCTCCTTCCCTGGCATGCAGGCTTTTTCTATCTACTTAGACGTTTAGGGCCAGGTCTGCCATCGCCCTAAATAGAGTGGCGGTGGCCCTGAAAACACCCGAGTTTGCTTCCAGGACCCCTGCTCCGCCACCCTGAGCCTCAGACGTCCGGGAGAGATCAGTTCATCATTCCCTCCAACTCCTGTTTGTTCTCGCCGTCAAGACACCACGACCAAAGCGCAGTCCTCCTTTCAGCTGACAGATCTGTGCGTCCCAGAAAGGCTTATTCTGAGGAAGGGACCTGAGAGGGACCTGGGGAGTCCGTGAGGGTGGGGGCTCGAGCGGCGGACAAGTGAGCACCAGATTCCCTCCAAAGACGGAATCGGGGGCGTCAAGAACTGGCCTTCCTGCACTCCAAATTAAAACACCACATCACTTAAAAACAGAAAGGTTCGCAACAGCAAAATTCTAAAACAAAACCACTCACCTGCAAAGAGGCCAGCAGCAGCAGCAGCCGCTCCTCAGAGGCGCCGAGGAGCCAGCTCCTCCTACAACTCACCACTGCCGCCGGCATCGACGCTCTTTTCTAGCTCGCGAGCCCAAAGGGGAGGTCCTAGCCCTCTGTGTATTGGAAGGTCCAGCTGTCACTCACTTAAGGCCCCGCCCCACTCCCGGGAACAGGTCGAGGTCTTTTCCGTTTCCTAAATCCCCGGCGGTGGACGGCAAGGCTATGATTGGCTTTCTGAGGAAACGAGCACATGCTTGGACCAGTAAGGAACTGACTTCGACGCCGGTGGGCGGGCTTGGGCCTGGGGAAGTAGGAAAAAACAAAGCCAGGAGCCTTGCCGGGTCCATAGAGGAACCTCAGGCGCTGCGAGAGTTTAAGTCGTGGAAGTGCTAGAAAGCAAAAGTTTCGGGTCGCGGAGGAGATCCCTGCCAGTGTAGAGAAGCGTCCGCGGAATCCAGGAAGTGATGAGGTGATACCTCCTTTTACTCCTGGGAAATTTCAACCCGGGGATGTAGGCGGGAGTTCGCGCAGATGAAAGCTCTTGCTTTCCTTGTGGTTGTCTTAAATCGTCATTAAAGCGAAAGGCTTTAAAGTGCCCGATTTATGGGCAGTCACTCGCCCCCCCTTCTCTTAGTACTTTTATAGGGACTCACCTTAGGCAATTCCCTGACACTGTTTTGGTTGGGAAAGAAAAGTGATAAGTGGATTGCACTTAAAGCTTATAGAACAATTGAAAGGAGAATGGAATGGAATGAGGAGGAGAATTGTAAAAACTTGGAGGCCACAATTACTGAACCAGAGAAACCCATGAAAATACCCGAAGCCTGGCACAAGGCCCTTTTTGCGCATCTAAGTAGGCTTGAACTCTTATCCCACAAGACTCTGAAGCAAGTGTCAGAACTCTTGGTTGGGTGAGAAAAGGAATTGTATGTTTGTCTGACAACGTGGGAGAGCACCCTTCTTGATTTCTAGAAGCTGTCCTACCTAGTGTTTAGTGTCTTTTGAGCTTTTCCTGTTTCATCCCCACAACAAGTTCAGTAGGTTTGTGACCACCAACCATAAACATAAGCATAAGTTTGAAAAGATAATCTTTCCACGTTTTAAACTCTGTGACATCCTGTGTATTGCATTCATTAGTGCTTAAGTGTTTGTTGTTAGTTCATCTCATTTATCTGTCTTAGAGTATAACAGTTCCTCCTGGGATCTCAAAGAACATATCTTCGATTCTGGAAGAGCACAGATCCAAGGCGCGGCAGGTCCCAGCAGGTGATGGGTCCCACCTTCTGATAGTTGGAATTTTTACCTTGCACAAGATCAACTAGAGTCAGGTCAGAGCAACTGGAGGAGGCAGCTTCCAGTCTCAATGCCCAGGAATGTGGCTTCCAAATCCTATACTCTTACTCATTTGTTTTTCCTCTTCTGCCTATCAGATGGGGACAAAGTGAGGGGAAAACTTTTCTACCATAGTGTCACATCAGAGGTCCCTTCTTGGTGCCCATCATCCCTACTCTGGAGGTAAAGACAACCATACATGTGTCAGAGTCTTAGGAGCATTTGACATTTAGGGATACTTACATAGGACTTAAGGACACCTGCCACTGGATTTGGTTTTGTTGTTGTGGATACCCACAGAATGCTAGCTTGTCACATAGAACATTAACAATATCAGACATCACCTGCCTTTTAGAATCTCATTGTACAGGTGAGCAATTTGAAGTTTAAGAGATTTATTCACAGTTACATAGCTGGTTGGGGGCAGAGCTGTGACAAGAACCCAAGGTTACCAATTCATAATTCTGAGAAAATGTCTCCTCTTCCACTGCCTCCACCCCCCCCCAAAAAAGCAATAGTTTTTTGTTTGTTTGTTTACTCAAGATTACTAGTGTTAAAATTAGCTTCCATTAAGGCCAATCAGGAGGAATTTAATTCTGATATAGCAAACAGCATAGATAGGAAAATAACTGTGTCTCAGTTCATTACTTTACTTTCAGCAACTTTTGGTGTAATCCTACTTTCATCCAAGCAAGGAATGAAAATGCAGTAAATTATTACAGCTATGTTGTCTCTTTGTTTTTCTGTTATGTGTGTGTGTTAGTCAGTGTTAACACATGTGGTAATTAAAGATTGGTAGTGGATTGTCTTATTCAGGACCTGAATAAAATACTTTTATGATAGCACACATACCTGGCCCAAATAATTTCACAGCTATTTGTACAGAGGCCCTGGCCTTTGAGGTGGGGTTGAGCTGGTCCACCAAGCATCAAAGCATCTACTGACCTAGGCTATTCTGCCTTTTTCTATCTTGGCAGAGCTATTGTTTCCCTGCCCTACACCCTCCTACTAGCAAACTCCAGAATTCTTTGGCCCCGTAGCCAATGTACAACTGTCTCTTCGTCTTCATGGCTATCGGGTCACATCATAGTCTTGCTTGCTACTAGTATCTAGTGTCCCACCAAAGCCTACCTTCTTCAGATTCAGATTAAAATCTAAATAGGATAGTAGGTTTATGTTTGTCTCCCACCATTGCCCTATTAAGTACAGGTGGCCTCTAGTGAAACCAAAAGCTGAAAATGCTCGCATGAATCAGTCGTGTAAACCAACCAAAGGGACTTTAAAGCCATCTGTCCCTTCATTTCACAAGTGAAAACGCAGAATCCTCCTCTCACAGAGTACTGTGAGGAACAACAGAAGCAATTTTGAAACAGTTTTGTAATCTGTGAAGCACCTGACGTCAGCCATTTTCGAGCACTGGGAACTTGGGCATGACGCTTGACCGCAGCCTACGTCTTTATCTGTGGAATGGGGAGAAGCCCTAAGTGACTAATGTGAAGATTCAGTGCCATAATACAGTGTCTACCTGGTACATAGAAGGGGCTCAATAAATGGTAGTTATCCTGAGCAGTCACAGGAAATGATAAGTGTAAAGTGTTCTAATTATTCAGAAAGACTCTTATTTTAAAAACTCAAGATTAAGTTTGGGCCTTGTGCTTTCTCCCCCTTTCTCTCAAGCAGAGACCTGAACTCATGCAGAGGATACAGGAGGTGACTGTCAGGAGGCAAAGTGGAGAATTACACACAGATCTACCGACTTAGCCAGGAACCACCAGTATTGGGAAGCTTGAACAATGTGCAATTTCCCTATTCTAAGTCTCGACATAGAACATCATCAGGCAGGAAGAGAGCCAGGTTGATTTTTCTTTTTATTCCATTCTCCATTCAGGGTGGGTGGGAACCCAAAACTCTTTAAAAGGTGGGACAAGGGAGAAAGGGAGGAAACTTGTAGATAATCAAGAGGCACCTTGCCCCTATACAAATTCTTTACCTCAGTGCTAAGGGAAAGGCCACATTTCTTTAAAACTCTTGTTTTTCTGTGGGGATGAGCAAAAAGTCACAATTTCTGCCCAGTGGAATCGTTGTTTAATAGCTGTGTCATATTTACATATTATAACTCTATGTTGAAAAAATACTACATTTATCATATAAGGTTTAGAAAAGAAAAAATTTAAAACCCCTGTAACTCTACCACTCAGAATTTATCATTGACAATTATTATTTCCTTCTGTTTTCCCCTATAAATCAATTATTTTAAAAAAAGGAATCTATAATATATATACTATTTTATAGCCACATTTAGTTCATTTATCATAAACATGTCCCCCTGTCATTTAATACTCCTTTTCAATATGTAATTCCATCATGTACATGTGCCTTCCAGTATTATGTCTCACTCTTCAACTCATCTGCTACTCTTGGACATTGAGGGGTTTTCACTTTCTTGAAAAGATTCAGGGATTTAAATGGGCTGCTTCTGTCCCCAGGTGACAAGGTGCTCTGGGAATGTCTGGTGAACCGAAGGGACTGCCTACTGGCCACAGTTCTTTTTCAACAAGGCTAATGATAAAGGTGGCCAGGAATTTTTTTCCTCTCTGCCGGGTGTTGCAGAACCTGAACACTGAGGCCATGTAAGTCTGAAAGTTCCAGGAAGGAGGGTTGCCCTTTGACCCCTGCTTCCCTCACGGTTTCCAGTTCTTTAACCTGAAGAAAAGGAGTTTAAGTGGAAGAAAAGTTGGGGAGGGGGTGGGAGTCAGGTCTCCATTAATAGAACCTTGCCAGACTCCTGGCATTGATATGTCCTTTCTATAGATGAGGAGACTAAGGCTCAGAGAATTTGTCCAAGCCCGCAGAGCTCGTTCGCGAACCAGAGGTTGACTCCCATGCTTGGTTCTGAAATTTGGACTCTCCCCATCCAGCTTCCCACTCTTTCTGAAAACTGATGGATACAACTTCCTTCTTTTCTTTCTCTGTGAGGAATTTGTTGTCAATCTTCTAGGATATATTTGTTATCTACTCCCTAAACAAAACAAAACAAAACAAAACAAAATCCCCCACTGTCCAAGAATTCCTTCCATCTGTGGATTTTCTGAGTTGGCTCACTCTTTGCCAGAAGAATATATCTTCAGGGTTTTTAAAAGAGTTATTTATTTATTTACTGGAGAAAAAGAAAGAGCTCAAGCAGGGGGAAGGGAGGAGGAGCAGAGGGAGAGGGACATGCAGACTCTGTGCAGAGCGCAGAGTCCGATGTGGGACTCAATCCCACAACCCTGAGAGCATGACCTGATCGAACACCAAGAGTCAGATGTTTAACCAACTGAGCCGTCCAGGAGCCCCAGTCTTCAATGTTTGATGAACAGTCAGATGGCTTAGCTTTTTTCCCACATATTGCTTATTTTCTTACGTAAGTGACCTTACTATATACATTGGAAGGTCAGAGTCATAAAAGGAAGGTCTTAAAACTCTGCAACAATTTAACATTATACATAGTCCCTTAGCTTTTGGGAGTTCTGAAGTATGACTGTGCATGTGGATAAGTGTGTGTGTGTATGCATATACGTATATACTTAATATGAAATGTGACTTGAAGTATGATATATATGACATGAAGCATGTGTATAACAATGAGTCTGTTTTTCTGGTTTGGCTCATAAACTGTTTCTGGAGGAAATTCTGAAAAAGGTTTTCCAGAATTGTTTGGAGCCATGAAGCATTCTTGAAATGGGTGTATAACATCCCAATCTGACACTTTTAAGCCAATAATGCTTATTTGGAAGTGTAATTTCTAGAATGTTTTGTTACAGTCTCTTTATACAATCTTACCTAAATCAGTTTCAATCAAGGATACATGTTTTAAAATAACCTTTTTTCCATTCCTCCTCTCCCCCCCCCACCATCCCTACACTATCAACACCCTAACCCAAGCTACCATTACCTCCTGCCTGGAGTTTCTCAGTAGACTCCTAACCAAATTTTCCTGATTCCACTGTTGCTCTCTTTTAGGCAGCCAAGGTGATATGGGTAGAGTATCTTTGTAGTCATATGACAACTAACCTCCCAGCCTGTCTAGTTTAAAACACTGCATTAGTAAATAAATCTTCTTATTGGAGGAAGGTGCCTGGATGGCTCAGTCCATTAAGCCTCTGGCTCTTGATTTCAGTTCAGGTCATGATCTTGGGGTTGTCAGATGGAATCCCAGCCCCTTTCAGGCTCCACACTCAACAAGGAGTCTGCTTGAGATTTCCTCTTTCCCTGTCCTTTGCCCCTAACCCCCTTTCAAATAAATAAATCTTTAAAACAAAACAAAACAAAAAACACTGCACTGGTTTCCCATTGTTCCTAACGTTGGCCTGCCTTCTTTGTCCCTAGGACCACTATGCCTTCGTATGTGTACTTTCCCTCAGTAGAACACTGTTCCCTCCCAACTTAAAGCACAGAACAATAATCCAAGTTTCCTAACTCCCAGGCTGACTCTCTAATGCAAGTATATTACTGGGGACTAATAATTATCCATCAGGAAGAAAATATGATTTGGAGGTTCAAAAGAAGTGTGAGAGTATGGGCTTGGAGCCAGTCTGCCTGTATTCCAATCCTGGCTGTGTTCTGTACTAACCATGCAAACTTGGGCAACTTGTTGAGCATCCTGACCTCATCTCTTCTGTTGTATAATGAGCTCAGTAAAAGTTCCCACCTTATAAAGTGGTATTATTTATGTAAGTTAACACATGGAAAGGAGCCCAATAAATTTTCACTTTAAAAAGTCTCCATGATACATTAAAGACCCAATATTATTTCTTATGTATAGAGTAAAATCAACCTTGCTGATACTCTCTTGTTTTCTTCTGGAGAAAAACAGAGCAAGCAACTGGGAGGCCCTCCTTGGGAAGGTGAAGGCTGGTCCTAGCAGATAACGTTGCAGGGGCCACACTACGGAGAGTAAGGCATATGATTACTTATGAAAACAAGTGCCAGGCCACAGATGCCAGTGTATTGAGATAACATGAAGCTAGAGGTTTTTAAAAATACAGAGGGGGGGAATTACTAAAGAAATCTAAAATGGTATAAAGAAATCACAACAGCAAACATAGAAGCTTATGATAATTTCACTTGTAAACAAGTCTGTTTACGAGTGAAATTATCATAAGCTTCTAAACCAAACCTTGTTATGTAAAGTATCTTTTCCCTGTGTAACAGACTGTTTTTTATTGTTTTGTTAGTCACTATACATCATTAGTTTTTGATGTAGTGTTCCATGATTCATTATTTGCGTATAATACCCAGTACTCATTATAACATGTACCCTCCTTAAAACCCATCACTTACCTACCCCTTACCCCTACCCCCCTCTCCTCTGAAATCCTCAGATTGTTTCCCAGAGTCCATAGTCTCTCATGGTACATCTCCCCCTCTGATTTCTAGCCCCCTTCAGTTTTCCCTTCCTTCCCCTAATGTCCTCCATGCTATTGCTATGTTCCACATAATAGTGAAACCATGTGATAATTGTCTTTCTCTGCTTGACTTATTTCCCTTAGCATAATCCCTTCCAGTTCCATCCATGTTGATGCAAATGGTGGATATTCATCCTTTCTTATGGCTGAGTAATATTCCATTGTATGTATGAACCATATCTTCTTTATCCATCTGTTGAAGAGCATCTCAGCTCCTTTTACAGTTTGGCTGTTGTGGACATTGCTGTAATGAACATTGGGGAGCATGTGGCCTTTCTTTTCACTACATCTGTATCTTTGGGATAAATATTCAGTAGTGTAGTTGCCAGGTCATAGGGTAGCTCTACTTTTAACTTTTTGAGGAACCTCCACACTGTTTTCCAAAGAGGCTGTACCAACTTGTATTCCCACCAACAGTGTACGAGGGTTCCCCTTTCTCCACATCCTCTCCAACATTCGTTGTTTCCTGAGTCGTTAATTTTTGCTGTTCTAACTGGTGTAAGGTGGTATCTCAAGGTGCTTTTGATTTGAATTTCCTTGATGGCTAATGATGTTGAATATTTTTTCACATGTCTGTTAGCCATTTGTATGTCTTCTTTGGAGAAATGTCTGTTCATGTTTTCTGTCCATTTTTTGACTTGATTATTTGTTCTTTGGGTGTTGAGTCTGAGTTCTTTATTGATCTTGGATACCAGCCCTTTATCTGTAATGTCATTTGCAGATATCTTCTCCCATTCTGTGGTTTGCCACACCTTTGCTGTGCGAAGCTATTATCTTGATGAAGTCCCAAAAGTTCATTTTTGCTTTTGTTTCACTTGCCTTTGGAGATGTGTCATGAAAGAAGTTGCTGTGGCCAGTGTCAAAGAGGTTACTGCCTATGTTCTCCTCTAAGATTTTGATGGATTCCTGTCTCACATTGAGGTCTCTCATCCATTTTATCTTTGTGTATGGTGTAAGAGAATGGTCATGTTTCATTCTTCTATACATAGCTGTTCAATTTTCCCAGCACCGTTTACTGAAGAGACTGTCTTTTTCCATTGGATATTTTTTCTTGATTTGTTGAAGATTAGTTGACCATAGAGTCGACGGGCCATTTCTGGAGACTCTATTCTGTTCCATCGATCTATGTATCTGTTTTTGTGCCAATACCATGCTGTCTTGGTGATCACAGCATTTGTAATATAGCATGAAATCAGGCAACATGATGCCCCCAGCTTTGTTTTTGTTTTTCAGCATTCCTCTAGCTATTCAGGTTCTTTTCTGGGTCCATACAAATGTTAGGATTGTTTGTTCCAGCACTTTGAAAAATGCCATTGATATGTTGATTGGGATGGCATTGAAAGCATAAATTCCTCCTGGCAGCATAGACATTTTAACAATGTTTATTCTTTCAATCTTTGAGCATGGGATGTTTTTCCATCTTTTTGTGTCTTCCTCAATTTCTTTGATCAGTGTACTGTAGTTTCTAGAGTATAGATCCTTTACCTCTTTGGTTAGGTTTATTCCTAGGTATCTTATGATTTTGGGTGCTATTGTAAATGGAATCAATTCCCCAATTTCTCTTTCTACAGTTACATTATTAGTATATAGAAAAGCAACTGATTTCTATGCATTGATTTTGTATCCTGCCACATTACTGAATTGCTGTATGAGTTCTAGTAATTTGGGGGTGGAGTCTTTTTGGGTTTTCCACATAAAGTATCATGTCATCTGTGAAGAGAGAGAGTTTGACTTCTTCTTTGCCAATTTGAATACTTTTATTTCTTTTTGTTGCCTAATTGCTGATGCTAGGACTTCTAGTACTATGTTGAACAATAGTGCCAAGAGTGGGCATCCTTGTTGTGTTCCTGATCTTAAGGGAAAAGTCCTCAGCTTTTCCCCATTAAGAATGATTTTCACTGTTGGCTTTTCATAGATGGTTTTTATGAAATTGAGGAATGTTCCCTCTATCCCTATACTCTGAAGAGTTTTAATCAGGAAAGGATGCCGTATTTTGTGAAATGTAACAGACATTTTTGAGGCTACCTGAGGTCCTAGAATTTTTTAAAAGAATGTTTTCTGGTGGCTTCCAGAGCTGTCATTTCTATAGCTACTTCTTTTTTTTTTTTTTAAGATTTTATTTATTATTTATTGGAGGGAGAGAGCAGGAGCAGCGGGTAGAGCAGAGGAGGAGGGAGAAGCAGACTCCACACTGAGCAGGGAGCCTGATGTGGGGCTTGATCCCAAGACCCTGGGATCATGACCCGAGCTGAAGGCAGATGCTTACCACTGAGCCACCCAGGTGACCCTCTGTAGCTACTTCTAAGTGCTGTTTTGTGTCCAGAGAAAAGCTACTTTACCTATAGCTCTGTGACTCCAATGTGAGTGAGACAAAGCTCTTCACATTCCCCATCTGAATCTTCACAGAATCATTACTACTTAAATTTAGAAAATAGCTTGACTGGCTTTGTTTATCATGAGTTTTCAAGTATGGAATAATGAGACTAAGCAATTCGTTATCAGTCTTGTGACCATCAGTCAGTACCAGCAATTGAGCATTGGTCTGTTTATGCCAGTTGAGTACCATAACTAGTCCCTGACATCATCTCTCAGTGAGCTGTCAGATAAGAGAAACAGGGAAATCACCTGTTGCTAACCACAGGATGTAAAAGTTTGCAAAAAAGGTTATTCTGTAAACTAGCTATGATTTATAAGGTGAATAATGGCAAAGGCACCAATGCTGATGATTTTTGACATGCTGAAACTTGGGATTACTGTGATCCATGATTACTCAGTGCCAGTGGAAGCAGAGAATTGCAATGCCGAATGACCTACATGTCTTCTTCTTTGAAACTCTAAGCAAGTGTGTAAAGACCAGGCATCTATATCTGCTAAAATTTCCCTTGTGTTGAAAATTATGTTTTTAAATTTTATTTCTTTTATTATTTTTTTGTCTTTTCAATCTTTTAAAAAATTTTTAAAATTTATTTTCAATGTTCCAGAATTCATTGTTTATGCACCACACACAGTGCTCCGTGTAGTACATGCATAATACCCACCACCAGTCTCACCCAACCCCCCCCCCAAAACCCTCAGTTTGTTTCTGAGTCCACAGTCTCTCATGGTTCATCTCCTGCTCCAATTTCCCCCAACTCACTTCTCCTCTCTATCTCCCCATGTCCTCTGTTTTATTCCTTATGCTCCACAAATAAGCGGAATCATATGATAATTGACTCTCTGCTTGACTTATTTCACTCAACATAATCTCTTCCAGTCCCGTCCATGTTGCTACAAAAGTTGGGTATTCATCCTTTCTGATGGAGGCATAATACTCCATAGTGTATATGGACCACGTCTTCCTTATCCATTTGTCTGTTGAAGGGCATCTTGGTTCTTTCCACAGTTTGGCAACTATGGCCATTGCTGCTATGAACACTGGGGTATAGATGGCCCTTCTTTTCTCTACATCTGTATCTTTGGGGTAAATACCCAATAGTGCAATTGCAGGGTCATAGAGTAGCTCTATTTTTAGTTTCTTAAGGAATCTCCACACTGTTTTCCAAAGTGGCTGCACCAACTTGCATTCCCACCAACAGTGTAAGAGGGTTCCCCTTTCTCCACATCTTCTCCAACATATGTTGTTTACTGTCTTGTTAATTTTGGCCATTCTCACTGGTGTAAGGTGGCATCTCAGTGTGGTTTTGATTTGAATCTCCCTGATGGCTAATGATGATAAACATTTTTTTATGTGTCTGTTAGCCATTTATATGTCTTCTTTGGAGAAGTGTCTGTTCATATCTTCTGCCCATTTTTTGATGTGATTATCTGTTTTGTGTGTGTTGAGTTTGAGGAGTTCTTTATAGATCTTGGATATCAGCCCTTTGTCTGTTCTTTATAGATCTTGGATATCAGCACTTTGTCATTTGTGAATATCTTCTCCCATTCCGTGGGTTGCCTTTTTGTTTTGTCAACTGTTTCCTTTACTGTGCGAAGCTTTTGATCTTGATGAAGTCCCAGAAGTTCATTTTTGCTTTTGTTTCCTTTGCCTTTGGAGACACATCTTGAAAGAAGTTGCTGTGGCTGGTGTTGAAGAGGTTATGGCCTATGTTCTCCTCTAGGATTTTGATAGATTCCTGCCTCCTGTTGAGGTCTTTTATCCATTTTGAGTTTATCTTTGTGTATGGTGTAAGAGAATGGTTGAGTTTCATTCTTCTATACATAGCTGTCCAATTTTCCCAGCTCCATTTAGAAGAGACTGTCTTTTTTCCACTGTTTATTTTTTCCTGCTTTGTCGAAGATTATTTGACCATAAAGTTGAGGGTTCATATCTGGGCTCTCTACTCTGTTCCACTGGTCTATGTGTCTGTTTGTGCCAGTGCCATGCTGTTTTCGTGATGACAGCTTTGTAGTAAAGCTTAAAATCAGGCAACATGATGCCCCAGTTTTGTTTTTCTTTTTCAACATTTCCTTAGCAATTCGGGGTCTCTTCTGGTTCCACACAAATTTTAGGATCTTGTTTTTTAAATTATTGGTTGTTGTTTTTTTTCTAGAGAGAGAGAGCACTCATGCAAGAGCAGGGTGGGAGGGGAGAGGGGCAGAGGGAGAGGGAGAGAGAGAATCCCAAGCAAGTTCCACACCCAGTGCAGAGTTTGGCCCCGGGCTCCATCCACAACCCTGAGATCATGAGCTGAGCCAAAATCAAGAATGGGATGCTTAACCAACTGAGCTACGCAGGTGTTGCCCTGAAAAGTATTTTTAAGTCTAATAGGAAAGATCCTGTGTTCTTAGCTCCAACCCCAATAATATTAGGCAAAATATTAATAACAGACCAACTTTTAACAAAGTATTATAGAAAAGTTATATTTTTTAGTGTCCCAAAGGGTAAATTTAACAAATATATGCATACTTTATTATATTAGGTATATAATATATAAATATATATATTCCTCTTTACTTAAACTCCTATATTTCCTTATGCTATCTTTCTGCCTTCTCTAAAAATAGAGGAGAAAGAAGTGCAAAAAAGGAAAAGGAAAAATGAAAAAACAGTAAAAACTTTAGAAATGCACAGGATCTGTTCTCAACCTGCTAATCAAAGCCAAACGTAACCAATTATTCATTAAATGTCTCCTAATGTTTAGGAAATTGTGGTAGGGGGGCGCCTGGGTGGCTCAGTGGGTTAAGCCTCTGCCTTTGGCTCAGGTCCTGAGATCGAGCCCCCCTTGGGCTGTCTGCTCAGTGGGGACCCTGCTTCCCCCTCTCTCTCTCTGCCTGCCTCTCTGCCTACTTGTGATCTCTGTCTGTCAAATAAATAAATAAAATATTAAAGAAAAAAAAAAAAGAAATTGTGGTAGGGGGTGCCTAGGTGGCACCCAGGATTAAGCGTCTGCCTTCAGCTCAGGTCATGATCTCAGAGTCTGAGGATGGAGTCCCCTGTCAGGTTCCTTGCTCAGCAGGGAGTCTGCTTCTCCCTCTGCCCCTTGCCCTGCTTGTGTGCACTCACTCTCTCTCTCTCTCTCTTTGTCAAAAATAAATTAATTAAAAATTTTTTTAAAGTTAGGAAAAAAAAGAGATTGTGGTAAGAATTTTGAATAAATTGAGTTAACAATGCTTTTAGTGCCTACCATGAACTGTGGTAGGAGCAAGAGGTTTAAATCTAAATGAAGCATTTTCCTTGTCCTTAAGGAGCATGGCCCAGTAGGAGAGAGACCCAACTCATGCCTTTTAAATTATAGCCCAACAAATATATATGCCAGTGCAATTACTGAGGTGTTTTGGTGGAAGGCTAGGGGATGCTTACATGTGTGTAGGGCAGGCTCTGGGGGAGCAAAGAAGTTGGCAGTTGGCCCGAGTGCCCTGCAGTATGTAATCCCTCGTTAGTCATTCCTTGTCTTTCACAACCTTGATGTGTTTGAAGAGTACAGATGATTTTGTCAAATGTCTCTCAGTTTGAGTTGCCTGATGTTTACTTACAACTGACCTGGGGTGATGCACGTTCGGTGAGAATACCACGGAGTACTGTGTTCTTCTCATACGGGGTTCGGGATGTTGATGTATCTTATGATCAGTGGTATTAACCTTGATCACTTGCTTTAAGGTGGTTTCTGCCAAGTTTCTCCACTTAAAGTTACTGAATTTCCTTTGTAATTAATAAATATCTTGGGGCAGATATTTTGAAATGATGCAAACTTTATTTCTCCACAAACTCTGACCCACTAACTTTGTCATCTATGGATGGAGCTTGTCTGCAAGCATTATTATTGTGGGTGTTTCATGGTAATTTTATATTTTTCTCTTTCCTTTTATACTTATTCACTCACATTCTACTGTAAGGAGGAGCTACCCCATCTTTCCCACTTACTTAATTAATTACTTTTATCAGTATGGACTCATGGATATTTATTATGTTTATAGATTAAACTCTAACGCTGTGGTAATTTATCTTGCTGTCCAGATTGTTCCAGCTTTGACACATGTTCTTACTTTCTGGTGCCACAAGACATTCCAGGTTCTTCTCACATGTTACCCGTCCAGGCCCTGGAATCAACTATTTCTGCAAGGAGCTCTGATTCCTGTCTTACTTAGAGTGGTGTTTGGAAACCAAGATCTGAGCACAAGATGTGACACTGGCTAAAATTTCTGACAATTACAAGTTGATGAAAATTCAGAGTAATTGGAATTCATATGCTTATGGGAATTTGTACAGTTGGTGTGGAAAACAATTTAGCATTAGCTAAATACCAGTAATTCCACTGGAAAAACTCTTGCCCGTGTGCAACAGGAGTGCGCACAACTTTGTTCAAAACAGCACAAAAATGAGATAACCAATGGCCATCGGTCAGAAGAAAGATGAATAAAGTGTGTTATATTCATCAAGCAGAATCCTTTAAAGCAGTGGAAATGAAATAGAGCTACACACACCAACATGAGTGACTCTCAGACACATAATACTGCCCCAAAATGAGTATCTGCAGTATGACTCCATTTACTTAAAATCCATCCACGTGCAAAATGACACAAGGTGGGCATTTGTAGGGATGCACAAATGATCAGATGATAAAGCTGAAAAGAAAAGGGAATGATAGCTACAAAATCCAGGATAGTGGTTACAGGTAGGAGGTGGGAGGCAGTGGCCTTCAGAGGTATTGGTCATATCATTTCTTAAGCTGAAAGATGGGTTAATGGACACTCATTTCATTTAGGCAGGCATATATGTGTGAAATATTACATAATGAAGGTGGGGAGGATCTGGAGGTAAGGAAGGAAAAAGAAGAGAGGAGGAAAAGAAAGGATGGAGGGAAGGAAAGAAAAAAAAGCATTCCTGTATGTGGTGTCTTAAGATCTAGTTATTGGTAGTTCAAATTCTGACATAAAATATCTGTTTGGCTTTGGACGAATCACTATACTTCTCTGAGACTCGGTTTTCACACCAGTTAAATGGGAACGATGTACTTTGCCCTCTGTGCTTCCCTGTGTTATTGCGAGGACAGAATGAAATACTTGTACCGATAGAATAATACTTCAAAAAAGTAGCGAAGTCTTCAAAAACATAAAAGAAAAAAATTGGGGCGCCTGAGTGGCTCAGTGCGTTAAGCGTTGGCCTTAGGTTCAGGTCATGATAAATCACTAAAGAAACTGCAATCTGGTTCTACTCAGCCTGAAGGAAGGTAGAAGAGTAGACAATGTTCATGTACATTGAGTCTTTACCCCTTTAAAACCTACCCCGGGGCACCTGGGTGGCTCAGTGGGTTAAGCCTCTGCCTTCAGCTCGGGTCATGATCTTGGGGTCCTGGGATAGAGCACCGTGTTGGGCTTTCTGCTTGGTGGGGTGGGGGGCGGGGCGCTGCTTCCCCCTCTCTCTCTGCCTGCCTGCTTGTGATCTCTTTCTCTATCTGTCAAATAAATAAATAAAATCTTGGAGGGAAAAAAAACCTACTCCAAATCAGCTAAGCATACACAACTTCTGGAATTTCAGATCTCACCCTGCCCCACTCCATACATGTACATTTCCTCCTTTCCCTCTTAACTTCCTTCATCATATATTTTCTGTGTATATCTCTGAAACACCTTGACTGTAATGCACAAATGAGCTTTTTTCTGGGCTCTAACTAGAACTGCGTTTCTCATTTAATCTTGGGTAGTATCATTCCTTATCTACTGAAGTTAGGAGTTGAACTATCACCAAAATAAAAAGAAGAAGAAGAAAAAAAAGAAAAGATTTTTGTCCTTATAGCAGAAATTATTTTCTTTTAAATACACAATAGAGGATTTATTTTCATCAAGAAAATGTGCTTCTTTCAGCAAACAAGGTTATGTATGAAGTCATCAGTTCTGTAAAAGGCAAGGAAGAAAACAACTAGTTCAAAGAGGGCATTTCCCCCCCTTCTTTTTGGTATGCAATGTCACATTCTTGAATACTTCGTATCAAGTCAATTCAATGGTAGAGTGTGGTGTAATACATAAGCATGGCTTGGAGTTAGGAGACTTTGGGTCTGCTTCCATGATTTACTAAACTAGCTGTGTGACCTTGGGATAAATTACTTAAAACTAATGTAGGTTATTTGTCTGTAAATTTAAGATGTTAACTATGTGACTTTTAAAGTTGTAGGCTTTCTCTGGTGTGGAGAGTGAAACTCTTCCCCTAAGCCAGAGTCTTTGAATGGGTCTAGAGTGGTCCCAGATCGGTTTCCTCCTTGTCCCGGATCCATGAGAGAATAAATATAAATCCTCCGTTGAAACCTCCTGATTTGTTAAAATTAAAAACAATCAAATATAATTAAAAAATTAACAAACCTACCATGAATGAAAATCAGGAGAAAATAATAACTGAGAATTTAGATATTGAAACTATCAGAGTATAAAATAATTGTGGATCAAGTCTTTTGGGAAATTAAAGATGGAATGAAAACTGAAAAAGGGTCAAAATATAAATCTAATAAAAATACCAGGCACATTTGAAAAAAACACTTAGAACATTTATGGATATCATATAATTATTAGTGGACGAGTTGAACAGCAGGATATATGCAGCTGAAGAGAGTTAAATCTGAAGGAAATATGCTTTAACACATAGATAAATAGATATGGAGGAGATGTTAAACTACATGGAGAGTATAATGAATAAGTATAACATATCTAATTTGAGTTCCAGGAGGAGGAAATAGAAAAAAGGCAGTATTTGAAGACATAAAGGCTGAGATTTTCCCAAAACTATTGAAAGGACATGAATCCACAGACAGAGGGAACAGGGGTCCAAAACAGAAGTAATAAATAAAAAGAAATGAAATCTTGCCATTTGCGACGACATGGATGGAACTAGAGGGTATCATGCTTAGCGAAATAAGTCAATCGGAGAAAGACAAAAAACTATCATATGATCTCCCTGATATGAGGGAGAGGAGATGCAACATGGGGGGTTAAGGGGGTAGGAGAAGAGTAAATGAAACAAGATGGGATTGGGAGGGAGATAAACCATAAGCAACTCTTAATCTCACAAAACAAACTGAGGGTTGCAAGGGGGAGGGGGGTTGGGAGAGGGGGGGTGGGGTTATGGACATTGGGGAGGATATGTGCTATGGTGAGTGCTGTGAAGTGTGTAAACCTGGTGATTCACAGACCTGTACCCTTGGGGATAAAAATATATGTTTATAAAAAATTAAAAAAAAAAAAAAAGAAACTCCCACCCAAATATATGTTAGTAAAACCAAAGAATACCAAAGACAAAGAGAAGATCTTAAAAGTAGACAGGGGAAAAAAGTAGATAATTTACAAAGGAGGACATGTAGATATCAATTTCTCAATAGCAACAGTGGAAACCAGAACACAGCAGAATAATAATCTTCAGAGTTCTGAAGAGAAGATGACTTTTGAGCTAGATTCTTGGATTTAGCAAAACTGTTTTTCAAGGACAAAGGCAATAAAGACACTTTCAGATAAGGATAGATTGCAATTGCAACCAAGAAACCTTATGTAAAGGAATTTTTAAAGAATGTTCTTTGAGGCACCTGGCTGGCACAGTCAGCTAAGCATCTGATTCTTGGTTTTGGCTCAGGTCATGATCTCAGGGTTGTGAGATCGAACTCCATGCTGAGCCTTGGGTCTGTTTAAGACTCTCTTTTTCTCTCCCTTTCCCCACCCCCCCTTTCTTTCTCTCTCTTTCAAATAATAAATAAATATTTTTTTAAAAATGAGTGTGCTTTAAAAAGAAGAAGAATGGTTCTAAAAGCAAGTTCAGATACCCACATGCAAAAGAATGAAGTATACAAAAATTAGCCCAAAATAGATGAAAAACCACAATGTGAGAGCTAAAACTGTAATACCCTTGGAAGAAAACATAGGAGTAAATCTCCATGATCTTGGATTTGGGGATGGTTTCCTAGATATGACACCAAGAGCACAAGCAACAAAAGAAAAAAAAAACATGCTGGCCTTCAAAATTGAAGATTTGTGCATCAAAGGACATGATCAAAAATGAAAGAACAGATTGGGAACTATTATTTGTAAATCATGTGTCTAGTATTCAGAATTTAGGAAGAATTTCTACAACTCAACAATAAAAAGACAACCCAGTTAAAAAGTGCGGGCAAATAAATAGACATTTTCCAAAGAAGAGACACAAATGGCCAACAAACATATGAAAAGATGTTCATTAGAGAAATGCAAGTCAAAACTGCAATGAGATGCCCACTTCATGCTCAGTGGGATGGCTATAATTTTTTTAATGGAAAATAACAAGTGTTGGGGAGAATGTAGGGAAATTAGAACCCCTGTACGTTGCTTGTGGGAATTTTAAATGGTGCAGCTGCTATGGAAAAAATTTTGGTGGTTCCTTCAAAGGTTAAACATAGCATTACCATATGAACCAGTAAGTCCACATCTAGTTATAACCCCCCAAATTGAAAGCAGGTATTCAAACAAATACTTGTACACAAATGTCCATAGCAGCACTATTTACAATAACCACATTATGCTGAGCAAAAGAAGCCAGACACAGAAGGTCACATATTATATGAGTCCAATGGAAATATCCAGAATAGGCAGAGCCATAGAGACAGAAGATTGCTGATTGCCAATGGCTGGGGAGAGGAAGGAATGTGAAGTGTTTGCTTAAGTGGTATGAAGCTTCATTTGGGATCATAAAACTGTTCTGGAACCAGATAGAAGTGATGGTTGCACCGTGTTGTAAATGCACTGTCACTGAATAATACCCATTAAAATGGCTAAAATTGTGAATTTTATGTTATGTGAATTTTACCACAATACAAAAATCAGGGGCGCCCGTGCAGCTCAGTTGGTTAAGCATCTGGCTCTGGATTTCAGCTCAGGTCATGATCTCAGGGTCGTGGGATCAAGCCCTGTATGAGGCTCCTTGCCTAGGCACAGACGGTCCTTAAGATTGTCCCTCTGTCCCTCTGACTCTCACCCCACCCCAAAAAAAAAAAAAATTTTTTTTTTCAGACACACAGAAATTAGCAAACATGAAGGTAAATCCAGACATTGTGTAATATAAGTGATGATGACAATAATGTCTCATTTCTGTGGTTCCAAAAATTAAAATTAAAATTGTAGACAACACAAGCATGTGAGTTGAGAAAGGAGTAATCAGAGAATTAAAGTCCTGAAGAGAGACCCTATGAGAGCCATTGGCTCTCAAGTGCTTTTGACTGTGATTGACAGTAGCATGTGTCTTATGTTGTCACCCAGTGTATACACTTTGTATATGACCGAAACCGAAATTTCACAAAATAGTCCTTGCCCTAACTATGTATGTTGTACACCATTTTCTATTCTAATTAATTTCATATTAAAAATGCTAATTGTATCCCATTAAGTTTATTTCATAAACCAATAATGTATTATAAAGTGCTACTTTAAAAA